GTTCAAGCGTCCGGTCTCCAACTTTGACACACGAACAACGCCGGAGTCTACCACAATCTTTATGCTAGTAAAGATTATAGTAGTATAAAATATAAAGATTAAAATTGGGATAATAATAATCTTGTATATTTCTATAGAAAATATTTCTAATAATACTTAGAAAATATTATGGATATTTTCTATACACAAAATGATATTATTGGAACCCCAAATAATCACTTTCTCTCTCTAGAAATGAAGTGGCCGAAAAATTACACTTGCATAAATCAAGATGAAGATCTTCACATCTATATAAAAAATTTTGTTCAAAGTGCCGTGTAATCAATTAAGTAGAAAACAAAACATTACAAAGTTATTAATCAAACTTTGTCATTTAGCTAAATGATAAAAATAATAAAACTATGTCAAAGATTGATTTTTGATCCTTTAAATCACTATGCCCGAATGTTTGATTGTGAGAAGGATTTTCAAAATTCTTCTCCACTCAAATGTTCAAAGTGTATTTTATTTGACACCAAAAATTAATATAAAACTAGTTTTAAATCAAATAAAAATACCCATATCATTTTTTAAACAAGTATACAAATATACTTTAAATAGTTTATGTCAAAATAATTATTTTCATAATTAAAATGACAAACCAAAATTATAAAATATTCAACATATAATATATATATATATATATATTTCGGTATTTATATATATAAATATATCACCGAATGTTTTACATATATATAATATTATATTTCCCAAATATTTTATTTTACTATTTTACAAATATACAAATTACTTATTATCCCATTGTTTAATCCTACTCCTTAAATTGTTCAAAGTGTGTGACCCGTATAGGCACTTATAAAGCTGGCCACCGTATTGGCTCTGCACCAATACTATAAGCAATAAGCGGTATCTAGCAACACATTATTGCCCCCAGATTATAAGTTAAGACGTTTGCACCGTCAAAACTTTTCCACGACTCAGACTCCGTGTAACTGTATCCCTTTGTCTCAATGTCTAAACTTAATGCAAGGGATTAATAAAATTCAACTTGTATCCATTAAGTCAATCACTGATTTATCAAGTCTGACTAATAGGAACAGACGTCATAAAAGCATCTCAGCATGGCCATGCAATTTCTTCAGTCATAACTTATCAGTGGGCCCCATAAGACATTAATCTCTTAAAAAGAGTAGTGACAAATCCTATGTACGTAATCTACGTTTCTGAATACGCGCTTCGGCATACCCAAAACAAAGCCTATATACCATCCTTATTTCATATGTCTTAGGACGATGCATCAAAGTATGCGGGTTCACATATGCAGAAAACGTAATACTTCAAGTCGAAGGATAGTTACACCCGTGGTCGCACTAAAGATGCTTAGAGGATGAACTAAAAGTTCAAGCAACATCTTTAGGATGGGTCAGTCTGGCATCCTATTATCTCTAGATAATATCTGCCCAGAATTCCTAAACAAGCACTAGAAGACAAACAGAGTAAAGTGCTACAGTCTTGAATTCTTGAACAACAGCTAGAAGACGTATTCTGTGGAAAAAGGAATCCTTTCTCAACAATTGGGTACGTCCAAACACCAACTTCAACGAAGAATCTTCAAATCACAATCTTCATTCAAAATTGAAGCCAGCAAATGCAACGGATAGTCTATTATGATTCAACGGATAGATTATCCAATCCAGCTATAAATAGCACTCTTGGAAGACTGGAGAAATAACGATGAGATACGTTGATACAACAACACAAAAAAGCAATCTCTAAGCTATCTCACTCACAGTTAGCCCAAAAAGCTTGATAAAGAGAGATCCTTAAAACTCCTTATCCAGAAGCAAACTCCTCCTCCTTCCAAAGAGCTATAGTGTAAACACTTGAAGGTTTCCTTGCCTCAAGTACCACACCACGTTGAAGGATACAACTTTTTGATCAAACTTCTTGATTAAAAAGGGGGTAGGTCAACTTTCTTACAAGTTGGTCTTGCAAGTCCTATTGTTCGGACCTTGCAGTTGTTGAAGAAGCGTGACCTTCGAAGGAACAACAAAGCCAGCACGAGTGCAGTAGCAACATTGGTCTTGCGAAGATATACCGTGCAGAAATTCACACAAGTGTAATTGTTGGTTCACTATTCAACAACCAACTACATAGTGGATTTTGAGGACGTAGAAGGATTACCCCACCTTCGAACCTCGTTAAAGTTTGCGTGTCTCTCTCTTTTATCTTTACTCTTACTTGCAATTATATTGACTGTGAAAACTAACCCATCCATATTGATTACTGCTCACTCTACCCACCAAATTCCGCACACAATCTAAAGTTCACCAGAACTCTAGATTAACACTTATTTTCACGTTTTCAAAAGAAACGAAAATGATTTTAAATTTGTAACGAAGTCTATTCACCCCCCCCCCCCCTCTAGACTTTGTATCTCACCACTTTGGGACCACCAATTGGTATCAGAGC